GTCATACCAGTCAATTTAATATCTTAAATTTATGATGCTTTTATGTAACTGTTTATGAGCCTAACCTGGTTTTTTACTTGCAGTTACCTTTTTTTTTATTAAGGAATATGTTTTCTTTGAATATTTAAAAAAATTTCACATATGATCAGTGTCTCCAAAACTCAGCTGCCTAATTCACAACAGATAATTCTTGTCGCATCCCTTCAAAATTTGCTTTTTTGAAATTGGTAACCAAAATACCATTATTCCTTATCTCTATATGCAGCAAAACATCAAACCTAATACAGCAATGATTACTTTCACACAGATGTTCCCCAATTTCCACCCTCTCAATCACTTTTTTTATTTGAAGTTAACAGTAAGTCTAAAATAGCATTGTTTCTAGTTGGTTCCTTGACTAAGCACAACCTCTGCATTTATACTTCCATCCTTGTGGTTCTAAGCTCTGTTCCTCACTTAATCTACTTGGTATCTTAGTTCTGAATGACTGCAATTATTATTTGGAAGAATAATTATATAGTATCATTATTAGGAAGACTCACTGTAAATAAGCTGTATGTAAAGCTAACTTTTAGTGTTCAACCAGTTTACATGCAAACCTTGGCATTTATACATCCAATTTAGAAATGTATTTTATTCAATATTAGATTCTGTATAAAATATATAATATAAAACTTAAGGACAACAACAGACTTGTTGGTCCATCTAAACTATCCCAGCCATTAAACTATTAAAAAGAACTCAAAAGCCAGTCCTTTTCATTCAAATATTTATCAGGCATTGCCTTAAACTTTCTTAAATTTACTGCATCCACCACATCTGAAGGCAACCCATCCAAAGGTTAACTACTCTGTTAAAAAAATAAAACTATCTTAGCTGAAGATGACTCCCACCTTGCTAAAACTTAGTTATGTCTCACAGTCCTACCATACTAACAACTAAGTATAAATAAACAACAACAGATGATGCATCAACATTATCAATTCCCTTAACAATCTTAAACACCTCAATCAGATCCTCTCTAACTCTTCTCTTTTTCAAGAGAAAATTGCACAGATATTAATCTGCCCTCAAATAACAACCTTTACATTCTAGGTATTGTACCCGTAGCCTTCCTCTGAATCCTTTCCAACAATTCAGTGTCACTCCGATTGTAAAGAAGCACACAATTATCCAAATGGAGCCTAACCAATGATGTATACAAATGAACTTGCAACTTCTGTAAACTTATATTCAGTATTTTTATATTATTATATTTAAGCTTAGGGATTTTGGGACAAATTATCCAGAATAAGTCTTTTTTAATTTTTTCTGTATTTTATGTCTTAAAGTTTTAGAACCTTCCATATACAACATTGGAATTTCCTTTATAATTTCTTACTGTTTTAGCCGATGAGAAGAGAAGGAAATTCAACTTTCTACACACTTTCAGTGAAAATATAGCAGTATATTACAAAGTTACTGTGTCTACCATTGTGTTGTTTCAACCAGAAGTGTATCATTCCAAATATGAAGAATCCAAATTTGAATTCAAAGAGGTTGGAAATATTTTTTGTGTTGAATCAGTAATAAAATTATTAATGTTATGAAGTACTAATGATTATTTTAGTCACACAGTTGTATGGATTTGCACAATTACTATGGACTCCTAATACATTTTGTATAACTGTTCAAGTTTCAATAACAAAATCAACGAAGTAAATTAAATAATAAGTTTGTTTTATATAAATAATGTATAGAAGTTGTGCACGTGGTAATGGTTTTATAGGAAGGTTAAGAAACCATTAAAGACAATATCGTATAACACTTTATATAGCCATCAACATTATAACTGGCATATTAAAGAACTGTAAATAATACACTAAAAATCAACAAATGCACTTTTATCATGAAAACAAAAGCTTGTATTGATGCAAAAATAAATTAAGTAGTAATTTTCCAAAAATCTGTTTTTTAATGAGTATAATGTATATTAATAGAAATGCATTAATTTGTTTAACATGTATTAATACTTTTCTACTGGAGACAAAAATTAGTGATTTTATGGTTATTAACAGTAATAAAATGGAAAAACATCTTGAAAATTATATAAGAATTGATTTATTGTGTGATATAATATAGCCTAAAAAGTATTTTTGCTTTTAATTGTAATTTTTTCTTGATTTTAACTGAATGGGGGGAGTGTATATTCTGAGAATGACATCTTCTTAAACTAAATGGTTCTAAGAACAGAAATAATTCAAGATAAAATATTATACCTAAATGTATATGTTGTGTTTTTAAGAAATATATAAGCAAGATTAAATTGTATACTTTCAATGAAAGGTATTGATTGATTTATCAAAAATCTAAGAGAACTGAATTACATATCCCTCTAGAAAATTTTCATTGTTTTTCAAGTACAAAATTAAAGGAACATTGTGTATACCTAAAATTATAACCATAAAATAAATGTTGATTAAAAATATTTCTTTTACAGATCGGAAGAAATGGCAATAATATTGAAAAGTTTTTAATGAAACATTCTGTTCCACTTGTTGGGCAGCGAACAAGAAAAAATCTCTGGCTCTATCAAAATAACTATCCATTAGTTGTAGTATATTATGATGTAGATTTTGGTTTTGAAAACATAATTCGTAAGTATGGTTTTGTGCGAAATAATGAATTTTTGAAATTACTTTTTTTCCCAATTCTTTTCAATTTATTTTGTGGATTTTGTATAAAAAACTAATATCAGAGCAATTTTTTTTCTTCTTATCATCAGCATGGAGAGATGAATCAGCATACTGTATATGTAATTGAATTGATTTTAATACCAGCACTAGAAAGTTCCTGAAATTAAAAAAAATAAATATGCTAGGTATTTATAGAATGAAAAATGATTATATTTAACTGGCTGGAAACTTTCAGTATACATGTGTATCATAATAATATTCTTGAAGTGAAATCCTTGATTTTTTTCTTATATCCATAATGTTATATGTTCTTGTACATGTGACAGCTTCATAATGGCAGATATTCAAAATAGGTCACAAAGTACTTAATGCACATAAATATATATGTATATATATATATATGTACTGTGTAAACGTTTTTTATTCATCTTCTGGGTAAATAAAAAATTGAGTTTTTGTCAGAAAATTATATTGTCAGTTAGTAGCTTGTTCTTACACTAACATCTTATTTAAAATACATTTATGGTTTTATTTGTTCAATCTTTAATAATAAGATAATACTTAGACATGCAGTAAATGTCATAGTATGAACTTTTCATCAACCTGATGCACCATGCTTTTGAGTTTCATTTTCCTAAACTTTTGCAGCCTTCAAACATTAATGTTCCATTGTTTGGTCACAAATTTTAATCATGCAGCAAAGGAAGTTCCAAGTATTGCACAAACTTTATAAATTAATATTGAGTACTAATGCTCATTATAGCCATTCAATCTGTTTCTACATGTAAATATAGCAACTGCACAACAGGTCATTTATAAAGGAAGGTTATTCAGTAACTGCAAATTATTGAGGGTATCACATTATTTTTGTGTATGTATATATATATATATATTTGCTGTACATTTATCTTAACAGTTTATAAAGTTTTGATTTATGGACAGGAACCCAACTGGTAAGAAAAGAAGTTGTCCAGGTGGCCAAAGATTATAAAGGACAAATCACCTTTGCTATTTGCCATGAAGAAGAATTTGCAGAAGAACTAAGAAATCTTGGCTTAGATGATAGTGGAGAAGATGTTAATGCAGGATTCTTCATGACACCAAAACAACGGTATTCATTGGAACCTATTGAAGCATTTAGTGCAGAAGAACTGAAGAAATTTATTGAAACTGTTTTATCAGGTATAAAGTCCAATAAGCTCATTTTCTACTAAAATTTTATAACCCAAAAGCTATGTTGTAGAAGTAATGAACTTTCATAAGATTTCATAGTTGATGAATTGTCGATGTATTACTCCCCCCCCCCCAGTAAGTATAAGCTGCTGATGGTTGTACTTGTATTTAGTGTTGTGTTCACATGCTGCTAACCAAGAAACAATACAACAATTTAAAATAGTGTTAGGAATTGTTTTTTCAACAACGTGGTTATTTTGAATAATTACTAAAAATGCAAACACTAAACTAGTTATTTTTACTTTTCACAAAAGATTTAGACTCATAAGTTATTTCCAAGTGTAATTGTGTTTAACTTCAGTCAGTTATAGCATTGGGTTGATAGCTTTGATTCTTTTTATAAAATATAAATCTAGCTCCGACGGTTGAATAACATAGTTGCAAGGTTGAATAAGGTTCGTTATTTTCCTACCAGCATTGCTTAGTAATTTGATTACATTTCTTTTCAATCCTCACAAATATTCTAAGTTTAGTATAAATATTTCACATGTAAATAACTTGTTAACTCTATGCTAACATAAAATCCCTTCTAAAATATTTTGTATATTTACAAAGTTCAGCTAAAAGGTTTGTATTTTTGTATTATGAAATTATAAAAATACCATTTTTGAAAGAGTTAATAATGATTATGTTTATAAGTAATATTAGAGTTTAGAATAATGTGTAAAGTAATCACAAGATTAAACAAAATTTATGTCATTTCTGAAATAGATTTAAATATAAAATATTCACTTTTTATAGGCAAACTTCCAGCATACATCAAATCTGAGCCTGCTCCAAAGTCAAACACAGGTCCAGTATACACTATTGTTGGATCAACATTTGATAAGTTTGTTACAACAAATGATAAAGATGTGGTTCTCCAGTTCTGTGATTCTCTGTCTTCCTCATGCCATCGGATAGACCCAATATACAAAAAGTTAGCCAAGAAATTTATTGATCACAAAAGCATGATGTTTGGAAAGTTTGATGCCAAAGCAAATGATTTTCCAGAGATATATGATATAAGTGATTACCCTTCAATATTTTATATTTCAGCAAAAGAAAAGGATAAGCCAATAAAATATTCTGGTGAAATAACTTTAAATAATTTGATAAAATTTGTAAGAAATAATACAGATATAGAAGATGATTTAAAACAACAGTCAAAAGATGAACTTTGAATTCTACCTTAATACTCTGCACAAATATTATATTTTTATTGAGAAAAAAAGAGTCTGATATAAAGAATATATATATTATGCATGCACACGAAATTGTGGCTCAGTTTAAGTCTTTGTTTGGATTATTCTTGAATATTTTTTTTCTTTTTTGCAACAAACAAACATATGTTACTACATTTTATTCACTTATAACATTTTATGATCAATTGCCCTCAAAATTTGCTGTATATATAATGTATTGTTTTCATATCTTTATAGCTATTTCAATATAAAATTGCCAGCATTCAGATATTTTGAAAAACACTATACAGTAGTATGTTAGACATTTTAAACTTCAGCACTGTGATTTAGTTGTGTAACAACTAGTACAAAGCAAATGTATTAGCTACTATTGTGTTAAAATATAATGTGCATTAAAAAGTATATTGTCTTTAAAATATCACATGTAGTGCTACACTATTTGTAAAACTGATTGATACCATCAGTTTTAAATGCACGTTTAAGTTCATCATTTCATGGTTTGCGCCATGGTACTTCAACAATTTCTGAGATAACTAGAGTGACTGTTATAGTCTATAATTTCCTTAGATTGGATTAGCAAGCACATTGTTAGTAATTTATTTTCACTGGACTTTGTATCCTGAGACAGAAATAATACGATCATTCCAAGACCTTTCTAACATTTGTAATCCTGAATGAATAATTTGGATAGGTCCAGGGCTCTTCTCTGACCTCAAGCTACTATTATATTTGGCTATCTGCTTGAATTAATTTCTGTACAATATGCATGACTACATTTGCTATACATGCAAGTCAATTTCAGTTCTTTTCTTCAATTATTTGTCAGTGGATTTGGATCTAGGTTTTAGCTTTGTAGTCGGTATTTATTGCATTTGTAATAAATTATCTTTAAGCACATTTTTTACTCCCATAAAACTTTTAACTACCATATTTGCCCAAATATAATGCACACTTTTTTTTCTTCCAAATACTCTCCAAAAAATTGACAGGGAATTATATTTTTGAATGTTCAATATTGTTAGGTATTTTACTAGAAACTACCACCGAAAATCATTAAATCGTCAGTAAAGATTGCAAAAAATGTTTCATATCCACTGCAATGGATGATTACATGCTGTGGGAATCAGATGTGGATGAAGCAAAGGTTCAAGGAAGCAAATCCGACGGTAGCGACAATTTGAGCAATGCTGAAGACTTGTGTGAAGATGAGTGATTAGCTTACTGTATTACCACATATAAACTTTTCAATAAGTTTTGTAAAATTGACACATAAAAGAAAATTGAATGAAAGATTTCCAAAAATGTTTAATACATCAATAGTTGTTTACTGTATTTAGAAATTATT